AAGCCAATTAGGATGGTGTGCACTTTTAATATTAATAAAAGAATTAGAATCCGTAGGTTTAAAAAATGCCTTAGTTTTAATAATTGAATTCTCTATATATAAGGTAAGAGCTAAAACGTTAATACTAAAAGGATCTGTATGAGGAGTAAAAACCAATGATTGGTTATTCTCATTATTATATTTAAAAAATTATTGTAAAAGATTAGGTGGGCCTTTCCAAATAATTAAAATATCATCTATATATCTCCGCCATAGTACTAAAATACTAAAAACCTTATTCAAGAAATAGAGTGAATCGAATGGAAGGAAAACTACGTATGGGCCACTTTGGATGTCATGTCACTTTATACGATTATTGATCATAATGTAGGCCTTGAGGCCATTAAACGAGTACTTGATCTGGATATTAGTTCATCCCCTTTTTTTAGACAATTTATTTTGGATGGAATTAAATTCATTTTGACACATAATTTTTTTAGTTTTAATGGTAATTTTTATTTACAAATTAAGGGCACCACCATGGGTACCAAATTTGCACCTAATTATGCCAAAATTTTTATCGATAATATGGAAACTTCCAATATTTGGAACAATAACCCTTTTGGCGCGAATTTGGTACTATGGCGGAGATATATAGATGATAACAATGGAGCACAAATACCCATTCTTGATGTGAGGTGATTTATCAATTCTCTGTAACATATAATTTGTTGTGCAACACCACCTGTATACTACTTTTACCCTGTTATTGCTGAAAAATCTCAAAAATAAAAAAATTAAAAATAAATACATAAAATAAATTCACTATTAACCTTTCAATGTTATTCTTGTAAACTTCAGCTGGCTTAAAATTAAGAGCGCTACTGTCTTAATTGATTATTTAGCTGCATATATAGAATGTAAATTCTGTTTCTGAGGACACATTAATGTTTTTAGGCATTTCAGCATCTTAATTTGAAATAATTTTTTATACAAGAATTCTGAAATACTTTTGTATAACCTCTATTATTCCTGGAAACATAAAGTTAGTCAGAGAAAACAATTTTCCTTGTCATTAATTAGCTGGATAGAGCAAGTTAATTAATATTTGTTATCTGTTTCATCAATATACTCAGGAGATAATCATGCTTTGAAATCATCCCTGTGCTGTACTGAAAACTATAAAATGCAGATTGCAATTATTGCAATATGGAATTATCATTGAATCTGAATCAGATTGCATCTACAAATGGAATCAAATACTGTAAGTAGTTACAAATCTATTTGTCTGTCTATCTATCTTAACTCAGGTACAAATTCTGGAACTGGTAAATATTATAGAACCCGTGAATGGATTGAGAAGTCTTAGTCCATTGAGTTAATATATTCCAACACACAGGTTTTTTTTACAGATCATCAAATTGTAGCAGGTTGAAAGAGCAAAGTTCAATGTGCATCATTGAAGTATCCCTCTTCCATTCTTTCCTTCAAATAAAAAAAAATAAATAAAAAACAAAGTTCAGCATTAGGCAAATATATACATGCTATGGCTAATACTGAATTGAATAATTTTCCAAATTGGCAATCGTATTGTAAATTCACTACAAATCAGTGTATCTACACTCACAAGTAATTTTAAGTTTTTAAGTTGAATTTAATTTTTTAGGGTACTGTACAGAGGTGTTGGGGACTAACAGAGGCTGGAGCCACTAATGGAATCCTGAAAAGGACCAGGTCTGATTTTTTTTTTTTTCAGCATTCCTTTATTAGTCGTGAGTCCCTGTAATAGTAGGAGATGAATAACCCCTCCAATTACACAATGTGTGACAATGACTCCCAAGTGGAGCTAATTATACAGCACAGGGAGTATTGCCGTAGGTGCATGATTTTAATCTAGATGGGGCAGGGTTACTCCAGCATGGGGTAGGGTTAATACAGCCAGCGCAGGGTTCATACAGCATGACCCAGAGAGTGGAGTTTATAAATGTGGCTGGATATAATACTATGAATGAATTCAATGATTTGATTTCACAATATGATTTGAAGAACATGTTAGTGTCTGTAAAAGGCTGCTTTAAGGAGGTGTTAGTCATTATAAGTTGGAGGGGCCATAAAATCTACTTTTAGGTTGCAGCTCCAGGTTACAAAAATAAATACGAATATTTGTTTGTATGTTTTTGTGTGTTGTGTTTGAAAACAGGGATGCATCTGTGTGTAGTGACTGAGTTTGAGTGCAGAGTTATTTCTGTGTGTACAAACATGTATTAAGCCCTGTGCTCAAACTACTTCTGGGTGGCAGCAATGACTATTAGTATCAGCCACAATATATACAATTTGGCAGGTGAGCTTACACTTGAATGGCCATTGGAGTGATACAAAAAAAATCTCAGTTTAATTAAATATGCACAGGGATTTGGCATAGAGGGCAAGTGACTTTTTCCCTTTGTTTTTTTATGGTATGTATTGAGGCTGATATGTACTATAGTCATTACTGCCTACCAGGAGTAGTGGGAGTTTGAGCACAGGGTTACATGAAATGGTGGCCACCCAGTAACTCCACTGTATGTCCCCAGATGGTCCTTAAAGGGTCAGCAGCAGCATAATAAAATACAGTATGCCCAAATCAGTATCCCAGGGCCATAGTCTCAGGCCAGGAGGCTGGCAAACAGGCCCCTCCAAAAACCAGTGGCGAGGTCACTTTAGGCAAAAATGGCTCTAAAAAAGTCCTGGAAAGGGCTAGAGAGCTGCAAAAGTAAAATGGGGGTAAGCGTAGGACAAGTGCCCTGCAAACAAATTTTACAATAACATAAAATACATAAAAATACAGCTGAGCCATAAAATAGCACTAGATGGAATCTTTGGTTTTAGCTTTGGCATGGCTGTCAGGAGGATCAACAGAATTATCCATTTGAGAGAGGGTTGGAGTGCAGGGTATTCTCTTTCATGGTTCAAACTGAGCTCAACTCCTGATGCATGTAGAAAAGGCCTTCGCAAGCCTCTGCTATTGTGTACATAGTTTATACTAAGTGACTCATAGGTTGAGGAGGCGGTGACTGTGGCGGAGTAGGTGGAAGCGGCGGTGGAGGAGGAGGTAGCTAACACTGTTTTTTTTTTTTTTTAATTGGGGTAGCCCCCAAAATATTGGGACATATACAAAAAAGAAACATTTGCGGCCTACGGTGCATTTCTTGCATTCCTGATGCATGGAGAAATGCTCAACTCCTGATGCATGGAGAAAAGGCCTTCACAAGCCTCTTCTATTGTGTACATAGTTTATACTAAGTGACCCATAGGTTGAGGAGGCGGTGACCATGGCGGTGTAGGTGGAAGTGGCGGTGGAGGAGGAGGAGGTAGCCAACGCTGGTATTTATTTGTTTGTTTTGTTTTGTTTTTTTTTAATTGGTGTAGCCCTCAAAATATTGGGACAGTTAAAAAAAGAAACATTTGCGGCCTGCGGTGCATTTCTTAGTCCAATAACGCCATCAGGTTTTTAAAACTATCCGTCTCCACCAGACGGAATGACAGCATTTCAAAGGCCACAAATATGACACAAAAATGAAATGCTGGCATGGAGGGCCAGGGATCGCAGGCTGTTAAGGGGGTACTTTCTCTCCAGTGTTTCGGAGATGGACAGCTGAACGCTTCGTGTGGAGATGCTGGACAATTGTGTACCTGGTTTATGCTGGTGCAGGAACCCACCCTCTGAGCCACTTGTGAATGAATGGCCTGATGACCGTGGAAATGATCCCTCTTCATTCTCCTCTTCCTCCTGTGCCACATCCTCTTCCATCATCGCCCGAAGCGTTTTTTCAAGGAGAAGCGGGATAGTAAGGCAGAGAACGGCGTCATCGGCACTGGCCATGTTGGTGGAGTACTTGAAACAGCGCAACATGGCACACAGGTCTTGCATCGAGGCCCACTCATTGGTGGTTAAGTGGTGCTGTTTTGCAGAGCGACTAACCCGTGCATGCTGCAGCTGAAACTCCACTATCGCCTGCTGTTGCTCACACAGTCTCTCCAGCATGTGCAAGGGGAAGTTCCACCTTGTGGACACGTCACATTTGAGGCGGTGAGCATGAAGGCCGAAGTTATGCTGCAGTGCAGACAGGCAAGCGGCAGGGTGAGAACGACGAAAGCACGTACAGACAACACGCACTTTCTGCAGCAGCTCTGATATATATGGGTAGTTTTTCTGGAATTTCTGCACCACCAAATTCAGCACATGCACCAGGCAAGGGATGTGTGTCAAATCGGCTAGGCCCAGAGCTACTACGAGATTTCGCCCATTATCGCACACCACCAGGCCGGGCTTGAGGCTCAGTTGCAACAACCACTCATCGGTCTGTTGTTCCATGCCCGTCCATAGCTCCTGCGCAGTGTGGGGTTTTTCCCCCAAACATATGAGTTTTAAAATAGCCTTCTGTCGTTTCCCCCTGGCTGTGCTGAAGTTGGTGGTGAAGGTGTTACGCTGACCGGATGAGGAGGTGGTAGAGGAAGAGGAAGCGGAGTAGGAGGAGGCAAAAGGAGGCAAAGCTGTGTACCCAAATAAAGATTGTCAAACGATGTATCCTGGAACTGTGTCCCATCCTATTACTGGGGAAATGGGTCTGACCTATTCTAATCAAAGGGGATAACCATCGGTTACCCAGGTCCTGCTTCAATTGGTGGCAAAAGGCGGGATCCCATGTCCATGCCAACAGACCCATGGGCTACAGTGCTCTAAAGCGACCTACACTGCAGGACTTGTGTGGAGCCAGAGGAATAATGCCTGGTGGGCGTAACAAGGCCGAATTGACCGCTCATGGAGGCAACAACTCCAGCCAAGGGCCAGAGATGAGGAGGAAGTGTGCAAGGTGGAATGGCGCCTGGCATATTACCGAGAGCTACCGTCAGAGGAGATTGTCCGCAGGACCTTTTTGGAGGTGCAAGCGTATTAGAGTCCTTGCCAATAGACAGAGGGCGACCTCCAAGAACCCAGATGAAGGAAGAAGGGAGCAGAGGGCACCAAGAAGCACAACCACCCTGGCCCATAAGCTACCATACAATGCCTTCAAAGATTTCAAGAAAGCAGAAGAAGGCATAGATGACTTTTTACAAGACTTGGAGCGTCAGTGCCTACTCCAAGTAGCTGTCGACATTATAGTTGTGCAGGCACTTTGGTGACTCTAGAGAACCTCGGGCCAATCTCACATCCACGTGACGGCGACGACGCATTTGGATGTCTGCCCTATCAACTTTTGATGGACTTTCTGCGCCTACCATGGTGACCACGAGTAATGGGGAATGAGGGTTAGATTCCGGAAAGGAAGTCTGAGAAATGGCTACATCCAAGGAAGGCAGTAGGCGCGCAAAATTCCCACTCCCGACACAGTGAGGTAGTGACGACAAATAACAATACAGAACTCTTTACAGGCCATGTAATTGTAATGAGTCCACTTGAAATCCTATAACTAGGATCAATTGGAGGTCAAGTCTGGGGCAGAGAATATGAGGCGGTGAGCGGGAAGGCCAAAGTTTTGCTGCAGCGCAGACAGGCGAGCAGCAGCTGGGTGAGAACGCGGAAAGCACGCACAGCCGCTTCAGTGAATGTCACATCCTGTTCCAAGTTGTGGATCAGTCTGGTGATGGCTTCTGGTATCCAATACTATTTTTACTGAAGCTGCATCAGGGTCCTGGTATGTGGCCGCACAAAAGCTGGTTTTGCACCAGACCCTGCTAATCCATTCCCCACTGTGACTCCCACTGCTAATCTATTCCCCACTGTGACTCCTAACTTCAACATTAGGCATACTGGGTTCCGGTCATCCCACCTCCGCCCAGACAGTGTCTGGGTCCCAATCACAGGACTGCTGCCTTAATATCTGAAACTTCGAATGGCTCGTTAAATCTGGTACGAACCCGAACTTTGCAGTTCGGGTTCACTCAGCTCTATTATGGATCCTTTGATGGCTCCATCTGTTACTTGGATAACTGTGGTAATTCTCAAGCTAATACATGCCGACGAGTGCTAGGGGACAGCCGCTCCGCTTTTGCACCCTGCTCCCTCTTATGCTGTGCTGGTGCCTCTGTGCGACCAGCGCCTCTTCCTCCAAACTGAACACGTCACTCGCAAGACCTTGTTTCCATCATCCTCCACATCGTCTTCCACCCACTCCTCAACCCTGCCGTCCTTGTACACTGCAGAAAGCCACAGCAGCTGGCACCTGTGTTTTTCCAGCATATAAACTCTGCAAAGGACATATGGTAATTGTTTTAGAATTGTATCCAGGAAACAGTTTTCCCTATAAACTGACCTCTTTTGACTTGTGAGGGTATTGCCCCCGAATTACAATATTGTTATATTGGTATTTGACGGTTCTAGTTGACTGTCAGATATGAAGTGCACCGCAGGCCGCAAATTTACTATTTAGCACCCAAAAACAATTAGAATTTTTAAAACTGCGCTGTAAGCACAGTATTTGACGGTTCTATTTGACTCTCAGATATGAAGTGCACCGCAGGCCTCAAATTTAGCACCCCAAAAATTTGAATTGGTCAGACTGCGCTGTAAGCACAGTATTTGACGGTTCTTTTTGAATCACAGGTATGACGTGCACACACCAAATTTGCTTTTTATCACCCCAAAAATTTGAATGGGTCGAAGTGCGCTGTAAGCACAGTATTTGATGGTTCTATTTGACTCTCTGATATGAAGTGTACCGCAGGCCTCAAATGTACTATTTAGCACCCAAAAAATTTGAATTTTTAAAGTGCGCTGTAAGCACAGTGTTTGACGGTTCTATTTGACTCTCAGATATGAAGTGCACACCCCAAATTTACTTTTTATCACCCCAAAGATTTGAATGGGTCAAAGTGCGCTGTAAGCACAGTATTTGATCATTCTATTTGACTCTCAGATATGAAGTGCACCGCAGGACGCAAATGTACTATTTAGCACAAAAAAAGTGTGATTTTTTAATCCAACAATGAAAGAGTAGTATTTAAGAGTTTTATAAGACTGCAAGAAATGCAATACGCAAATGTACTATTTAGCACCCAAAAAATTGCAGTATTTAAAAATGCCTAAATGTTGTCCACTGAGCTACCAGAATAGGATTAAAGTCATGTGCCTGGCACACATGCAGTTGCAAGTGCACTGCACTCTCTGTGGCACTGGGTTCAGGGCAGGTTACAAAAATGTAGTATAGCACCCACTAAAATAATCGCTGTAGTTTGAATAATCGCTGTAGTTTGCAGATTTCTTTCCTAAGCTGTCCCTCACAGCTGCAGTATCCTGTCCCTACACTAATAAGAGCTCATGTGACGTGCGGCGCTACGTGACTCAAAGCTTATATATAGAGGCTGGGTCACATGCTGCACTGGCCAATCACAGCCATGCCATTAGTAGGCATGGCTGAGATGGCTTCTAAGGGCAAACGAGTCAAATGCATGTTGATTGGCTGCCCTGCAGCCTTTCAAAACACGCCATTAAATCGCCGAACACCAAACTCCAACCCAAACATACACCAAAATGTCCGTGTTCGGGTCCGGGTTCCAAAAACCGTAATGTTCGGTACGAACCCGAACTTTGCGGTTCGGGTTCCCTCAGCTCTACTTCTGATTTCTTTTTCTGATCTTTTTTTTTAAAAGGAGAATTGTTATATTAAAATGAAGACCCCTTTAATTGATCAATTCTTTGCCATGGACTTCTATGTAATTTAGCATCTCTGATTTATCTTGCAATCTCTTTGCAGCTCTGGGAAGAGATTACCATGAAACAGACACAGATTCACATTGCTCACAGTAACATCTCCAAGATGTTATTGCATATCACAGGTTATATTGTCTTCTTTAACAAGACATGCTTTTACTGTTTATCCAATCAGATAGTTACACCTGGTCCTAATGTATAGAGAGAGAAGTAAAAGTGGGGTGGGGATTTTGGTCTTTCCTGCAGTTTTTTAGCTAGATCAGAAGTATGGAGTGCCTTTAATTAGGACTTGCACACAACAGTAAGGGGCTAAGATTTAGAAAATAAGGTATAAAGTCAAAACTTGTAAATAACCAAAAAGCTTACTATGCTAAAACTTAGAAACTTAATATAGGGTTTTATTCACTAACATATTAAATATCAAAAAGCATAAATATGATAACATTCCATCAAGAATGTAAAGCTAATTTACTGAAAAAAAGGTGGAGTTACTTTACCCATTAGACGCAATCAAAATCTAAGGTGGGGAAAAAAAGAGAGTCCACATCCCAACCTAGTGTGTTTCTTTTTTGTAGAGAAAAGTTTGATATATTGATAATCTGATTTGTGATTATTTTCATTGGCCCTTGTAAACCTATTGTCTGCGATCTCTCAATTGGATCGGTGGGAGTGTTGTTGTGAAGGGTCCTGGTGCAAAAAAGAAGGAGCAGCAAATGACACATTTCTTGGGGGACATAAGATTCCCCTGGTTTGTCTTGTCCTAGAGTTATCAGATTTGGAACTGTCTGTATCACTTCTACTTTCTGATGTCTGGGAATCTGATAGATGTTGGTTAGGGTGAGGGGAAGAGGAGGTCCTTCTACCACTGTTTCTGTTCCTACATTTGCGAAACATAAAAATATGTTAATTATTAAAATCTTGATAATCTCTCTGGAAGTTCCTATGTTTTGTTTTTTTTCCTTAATATAATTTTAATATTCTTCCATATTAATTTTTAGTTTGCTTTCCATAGAGGGGAATAGAGAATCTTCATTACACTGATGGACTTGGTCAATTTCTTTTTCTAAAGTTGCATTGATTTCCATAAGGTTCCCTTTCTCTATTTCTATCAAAATTGATATTAGGCGAAAAGAGCTTTGTAGTAACAGCTTTTGCCAATTTAGTATATGTGTTGGGATCATTTTACACTGCTGGGCAAAGCCTTCCATGCACCTCACTTTTGGACCGAACGTTCGGGGAGAGCCTTCCAGTGATACACAGACAACGTATTTCAAATTGGGCTACTACCAGTGTATTAATGGTCAGGCAAACAAAAATTTATAGACAGAAGTTACAGCAAAAGTGACATGACAAGATTACATCAGCTAAACACATTGCTTATTAAGCAACCAACAACATTTATTTCTGTAACCATGATCTGCAACAGGTTGTACTTTTAAGCTGACATTTAACAATTGTTATTTCTAATAATATAGTCTTGTCCATTTACAGTAGTCATGTACTTCATTTTTAACCCTTTCACCGCCTTATTGTTTTCGGTCTGACTTCCGGGTTTAGCCGATCCATTCACGCAAATACATCTGATGGCATGGATCTCCCTTTAAAAAGGAACCCGTGACTACATCTGATTGCTCAATCGATGTGTGTTTGTTTGTTGTGTGTGGGTAGTGTCTCAAACACAATCCTGTGTTTGAAGAGCCTTTGTTACATTCCTTTCATGGAACTCCAATGCGGATTCCTGTGTACCGAGCTTTCTGCATGATCCTGGCTAAGCTTTCTCTACATTCCCTAAATTGGATACAGATGACATTGGAACCCTACCATCTCTCCCAACTATGATCGACCATAATCTCTGCTATCCTGAATGGACTTCCACACTCATCATTCTCAGGGTACAGATACATTCACCAGCTTAAGGGATGACTAATTGGTTTACTCCAAAGTTATATCGGGAGGAATAGGAGTCAGAAGTCTGCCCTCTGGGATTGTCTTTACAAAGCTGCAACTATTTAAAAAGCTAACTGCATACATATTATTTCTGCAAGTCTAAGGACTATAATTCTTTGCATCCAGGATCTACCTTTATTTCATTTATCCTAAAAGTAAATGGACTGCATATTCTCTCTCCAGTTACAAGAATCACCTGTGCTACTTAATTGCTCCTTAAAAATCTCACGGACTATATTTGTTTTTTGACAATTATGCAACCTCTCATTTCATATCCATTTAATTGTCATATATTGTGAAGCAATACCAAACAAGATTGTTATTCATGCATTTTTATTTCAAGACCTTATTCATATAAAAGTCTGCAAAGTTGAAATTATATTATTTAAATAAATTATGTTCCTTTAAAGTGACAGTATCACATTTCTTCATTAACCTGCGGTTGAGTTCCAAATAACTAATTAATTCAACCAGAGAAGAAAAACTGAGTAAATCCAATCCGTAATCAGAGAGTGGGTCTCTGAGGTAATAATGGGCTTAACCCAGGTGAGATAAAAAAAATATACTGGAAGGGAAAGTAACCTAACTAGAATAGGTAGGATTCAACTCCACTAAGATTACCTCAAGTATAAATCATTCAAGGTAATTGCTAACAAAAAATAATAAACAACTTTATTTTTCAAGTATACATGGAAACTTTCAAATACCTATATATTAAAGACGATAGAATGTGTGAAGAAAGAATGTGGGGAAATAAATGGAAGTATAGGCACACTAGAGTTGGGGCATAAAAATACAGAGCCCCATATAATGAGCTAATACGTAACTGTGGTGGACTGTCTGGCACCCCGACTGGGTACCTCCACCAATCGCTGCTTCCTAGTATCACAGAGTACTA